CAGTGCACTACTCCCCAGTTATTTTGCTGTTATTGCAAGCAAAACTAACCACTGTCTTTTTCACGTTTTTACTCACAGTAACCAGGTTAAAGATTTAACTAGCAGTATTTCACATTAGGTATTCCCTATAAAATGTGTATACACTGACCGTGACATCAAAGCAGAGCTGCTCTCAGCTAATTTTTACTTATGAAAAACCGCTGGTTACAAGCAAATGCAGAGACCTAAGAGAACTGGTGAAGTGAAGGGCAAGCTGTACTAGTGAGACTGTAGCCAGCAGTTCAAAGGAAGTGTCTGTTCCCTCTGCTGAACATTTGCAAAGCTTCACTGTAGCACTGAATCCAGTTTGGGATCCTTGAGTGAAAGACACGATAAACTGAGGCAAGTCCTGGGGGTATGAGATGAGGATCTGGAGTCAGAGCAACAGGGCTGAAGCCGGAGGATAAACTGGGAAAACTGGATTTTTACAATCTCAAGAAAAGATGGAAACGGATTTAATTGCTGTCTTCAGCCATCCCTACTGAGTTAGAGAGAAGATGAAGCAAGACGTTTCTCAGTGGGGAGCAGAGAAAGGACAAGGGGCAGTAAGAGTGGTGAACCCAAGGTGCAGGTTGGTTACAAAAACTTATCTCCATTCTTGCAGGCCACATGAAGTCAACTGGACGACGCTGAGATTCCTGATCTGAGCTTAGTCCTGTTGGACTACACGATCTCTAGCAGTCCCCTCCATCCTAATTTATTCCACTAAGTAACAGAAATACTCCTTAAAATACAAAGGCAGTCAAGCATTATAGTGCTTGCAAATAGCAAGTTTACGACAGCAACATAACACAGGAAAATGTGCTCTGTGTCCTGCGCTGGGGAAAAAGTTCTCCTGCATAAACCAACGGACATGTTATGCTTTTTTTTAATAAACAAGCACTTTTAATAGATGTCTGTCATAAACCCGTTTCCAGGAACCTTTTCCTGAGAAGTTAGCTGGTGCTGTATCTCCTACCAGTATTTACAGTAAGTCGTCTCACATGGATGATGCTTCCATCTGTATTAACCAATTAATTCCATGCAAAATGTAATCAATACAAACATTTTATTCTGTGCTACTATGGACCAGAGACATCCCTCCTCAAATCTGATTTTCTTTGTAATACTACTTTGAATTCCTGCCCTTCTCTTTCAGGAACTTGATTTTTTCATCCCTCTTGTTTCCATATCGTTATTCTTCTACCTCTCCCAATGAACTCTGACAATGTTTCAGCCTTGTTTGCTGCTCCTTCAGCTCTGTCTGGCATATTCATGCCAATCCTTGCACATCATGTGACCTTCCTCAAGCACGTTCTCTAAATCTTTCATCTAAACCCATTTTATTGTACCTCTTCAGCCTTTCATTAACAGATGCGAAGAAACTACACTTAAAAAAGTATCCTGTAATTTGTGTACAGAACTACTTCTTACCTTTTTCCCCATAAGGTCCCTTCTTACCTTACCTCCACCAACAGAGAGTGACGGCCTGAAAGCTTCTCACTAACAGCCTGTTTGCAACCAAGGCAAACTTTTAAATGGATTTTCAGGAATATGAAAAGAGCAACTACAAAACTGCTAGGCAGGATTTTTTTTTCCTACCACTTTCTTGCCTCACAGCTATTGAAAACTTACTTTGTTCCATTTTCTCTATTGGCAAATCAGGTTGTAGCCGCAGAACTATTAGAAGTATCACTGCCCACTGCCAAGTCTGAGGACTGCAAACAGAATTCATACATAGTGCAAGAAGGTGAGAGTGGGATGGACAGCAGTTCCGTGTGACAGGTAGGTCATTCTAACAAGTACTGTTGTTTAAGAACAGAAAACTGTTTAAGCTCTCTTACTATCAGGAGAAGTTCTCCCTTTCAAACGCAATAGCAGCAAGAAGGGAAATGATGATTAGAAAGCAATTTGAAGAGTCCAGTGAGGCAGATGTGCTTACCAGAGTCAAAAAAGCAAATGTAGTTTTAGTCAGTTGAGAAGAAAGCAGGTAAGCATCACTAGAAATAAGAAACACCTATATCTGGAAGATAAATCAAATTCTACAGAACAAAGTTACTTATTTTTTCAGTATCTGTTAGGAATAAGAACATATTCATGCAAGTAATGCAAGAGCTCTGTGAGTGCCTCTCAGAACTCAAAAGCTTGTTGTATGCAAACTTCTCTGGAATTTGCTGGAGAATAAAATGTTTTGATGAAAAAAGCTAGTTCTCAGCCCCCTCCCCCCTCATCTCTATCAATTATGCTTGTCACACAGATACAGATCATAATCAGCTTCTTAGTTTTGGTTGTGTTGAATGCTGTATTGTAACAGAATGAAGAGAGAAGCATCAGCAGTCTAAAATACCAGAAAGCAGAACTGAGAGGCAAGTGGAACATGACCAAACTGAAGACTGCAAGCGTAAGAACACAAAAATCCATTGCTGTACTACATGCCAGGGGGTGGTGGTAGGGAAATTCAAGCAAAAAATGTAACTATCAGGCTTACAACCAGCGTAGCCTAAATGTGTACAGTACAGTGTTGAAAGCACCCTCTTAAGAAATAAGATGGTTTACTTTCCTAAAGTCTTTGAGTTCCTCATACCAACATCTTCTCTTTTGCTGGTGGTGAAATAATTCAGCCTATGAGCAGTTACCTACCCTAGGAGGCTTATCAATTATTTCTTCAGTCTATTTAGGTCAATTACAGACAGCCTATGATTCCAGTACATTTGTGTCTGCATTGTACTAGCCTTAAGGAATATGCATAGTATTCCTCCAAGTCTGTATCTTAGAACACCGTTCTCTTCTGTTCAAAATATTCACGGGTGTAATTTCTGCCCTGACGTTTTTATCAGTACTAACTGGAGAACAGTAACTTCTCCCTTAAAAGCTATAGTATACTAGACCTTGATCAGTAACAAAAATAAAGCTATTAAGGAGACATGGTCATTTTTTCATGTATTATACAATACTTTAAGATGAGTATGTATATGTTCTGAAATACAATCAAGTTTTTCAAGCTTTTTATGACACTTCAAAGAGCTCTACTTTCAGAAAATGACCACCAGTTCACACTAGAATAAACACATGCATGCAGAAGATGACAGCAATTTAAAAAAAAAGTTTGTAACTTGACAAGTTTTTAAATGATGCCATATTTGTTAACTTAATTTCATCCTTATTTATTCAGACCATTGCTGAATCACCACTGTGAAAATCCATCTGTTAATTCTTAAGCCAAGAGCAAAGGCACTCCCTAAATTGGCATTGAAGGATCACTGCAGAGGAATGCTATACCTTTCTATAAACATACCTCAACGCTTTTCAGTCCAGCAGGAATAGACCAGTTACACTCACAGGGATTTTGATACACCAGCAAGTTTCTCTGCTGTTCTTATTTTGAAACCATACCCCAAGAAAAATAGAAGGATGGTAAAGCCTGAGTCCAGGATAATATTTCAGCAGCAGCAGAACTGTGCTGTCATGCTTCCACTGACACTTCCTAGGGACACATATCATACACATTGCTCACATCAGCTAATCTGAAATCAACTTCTTTGAAAGAGACTACCCAGCAAATACACGTCAGCCTGTGAAAGTGACTCCGAAGCAGTAAGGGCTGCGTTAGAACAGTAATGGCACATCAGTGCCTGAACTCATGACTGTCATCATCTGTTACCCATGATGAAGTTGCTTGGAAGAAAAATGACAAGGAAAATGAAATGAGAACAGAACACCACGGAGCTGAAGACCCTCCAACCATACAGAGAAAAGATTAATGTTTGACTGTACATGCAAGTATATTAGAACGGTTAAATAAGGAGTTTTCATTTCTGTTTTGGTGCTCTTTATTCTCTTTAATTTCATTTGCAAAATCAAAAGCAGATATTGCAGTGAGCTCTGTAATATCAGCATCTATTTTAATAAGAAAATAACCGAATAGGCATAGATTTGTTACTAATTTCTGTCTGCTCCCGGCATTCCATGAGGCATTTTTCAGTCAGTCCTTCTAGTAACAACATTAGAGTACCACAATAAGCCGTGCAGCGTCCTCTCCCCCCAGCAGAGCCCTGTGCAGCCCAGCACACCCTTCCCTGCCCGACACCTGCACACGAAGCCCCTGGCAGGCACTGGCCCGTCACACCCAGCAGGTGCGGTCCCTGCAGCTGGCAGCCCTGCTGCTGGGGCGTGAAGAAGAAGAAAGGGCACCTGCGTGTGCGCTGCAGCGTTAAACACCAGGTCAGTGCAGCATAAAGCTCTGAACACATGCAGGAACGCAGACAGCGCTTTTCCACAATGTGCTCGGTTATTTCTCCACACAAGCCGAGGCGCAGCGAGCCCAGCAGGGCGCTGAGGCCCCAGCCCGCCCCGGCCGCCTCGCAGCGCCCCTCGCAGCGCCCCCGGCCGCCAGCGGGGCCCCGCCAGGGGAGCCGGGGCAGGGCCACCTACCGGGAGGACTCCCCGCTGAAGCTGCCGCCGTCCAGCAGCCGCACCTTGCAGAAGAGGATGCCGTTGACGAAGGGCACGGAGGAGAGCTCGTCCAGCTCCAGCTCCACGCGGAACTTGAACTTCTTCTTCTTCACCAGCATGGCGAAGGACGCGGGACGCGGAGCCCCCGCCGCCCGCCCCCACGGGCGCTCAGCGCCCCGCGGCAGCTCCGCGTTGCGCCGCCCGCCCCGCTCCGCGCCCATTCCCCGGCGGGACGGGACGGGACGGGGCTCGGCTCCGCTCCCCGCCCGCCTCAGCCCCTGGCGGCCGCTTACATGGCAGCCGGCGCCTCCCTCCGGCCCACCCGCCCCGCTCCGGCCGCCCCCGGCGCCGCCTCCCCGTGGCCCCGAGCGGGAGCTCGGCCGGGCTGGGGCCCGAGCCCCACAGCCAGCGGACCTCGGGGCTTGGGATCCGCTTTTGGGATCCCTCTGTTGTCTTTCAGCCCCTGCCGCGGGCTCTTACCCGCTCAGCTGGTGGTTATAGCGGTGTTTCGGCTCCACTTCGATGCAAGGAACAGCTGTTGATAGCCTTGCACAGCTGTGTTTGCACTTAATGCTCTGACACAGCTCATGCCAGCAGCACGCACACAGCACTGTGTGTAGAATGAATAGCTCCTGTGATCGTCAGGGAAAGCTTTGTTTCGCCAACCCATTCCGGAACACTAGAACACAAAGCCAGCGTTGAGCAGCCTCTCCCAGCATGTCAGCTTCCTCTTCACAGAGCGTTGCATGAGCTGAGCCTTAAGTGCAGCGTGTGCCCACAGCCCAGCATCTGTTCTCATGGACAGAGAAGGAACTTGTAAGATTATATGGGCTGTGTGATGCTGAGCACCTGAAATCTGCAGAAAGTTCGTGAAAATAACTGCTGCCTCTCAGCCAGGAAGAGTACTTTGAAGTTTAGTTAAGTATAATACGTGCCCCATGAATGCAAACATGTTTTGTGATGTGCACAGCTAAACATACCAAAATATCACTAACTGTCCTGTGGCACGATTTTAGAAGAAAAACATTAGAGTAAAAAAATCAGACTGGAGTGAGTGGAAGAAAAATGATTTTATTTCCTCTGTCTTACAATACCCTGAGCATAGGAAGCATTTTTATACAGAGCATTACAGTACTTTAAAAAAAAGTAATTCTGACCCCATTATCAGTTTCTATTCATAGTGAAGATACCCCTAAGACACCCAGATGTTTAGTAACATCCAGTAACTACTGTGAAGACATCTTTTATAGAATACCTAAATATTAGGTCTTGACATAGGAATTCCCTTCTCAGAAGTATTTCTGTGACATGCTCTAAAAGAATTCTGGATGTATTTTAATAGTCTCCAACAGCCTAAAGATCTCTCATTATAGCAGTTCCTTAGGTATCACATTAATTAGCTCTCAAGTTAAACAGAAGGCCTTCAACATCTAAGGAGAAGGCATTTGTACTGTTTAATAAACAGTAATTAATACTAGAACAATACTTCTTTGCAAAACACATAACTCCAGAGCTCTTAAAAAGAAGTTTCAGATTAATAAAAGTTTTCATAATTAGCTTGAAAGTTACAGAGAATAAGCATATAAAGAACTATTAAGAAGTAAATATTGAGATATAAAAGGATTAGAAAAAAGAGCTAGGTACCAGACAGACAACCTGCTGAAAATTTGAGATACAGTTGGTACAACTATTAAATAGTACCTTAAGAAAAAAGCCTGAACATACTTAACTTTCCTGAACACACTTAACTTCAGCTGAAAGATATGAGAAACAGATAAACAACCATTAAAGACCCTCTCAAGATAACATCAGCAGCCCCCAACACAAACAACCCCCCACCATATATCCAAAAACCCCCTATATATCCAAAACCATGGGGGAGCTGTGAGAGTTTATATGCTCAGTCAGGGCCCCAAGCACACCACTGAGCTGTTCCAGCCCATGACCAGCCACACCTGGAGCCTCACCCACACCCTGCCCAGGAACCTATTTGAGCTCAGCTCCAGGGCAACAGTTTTTGTGTAAGCTGTGGTATTGTTTGGTCTGCTTTAGTTTCTTTCTTTTTTTTTTTCCTCTCTTTGTTTTCTATAATTTTTTTGGGGCTCGTATTTGGCTTGATCTTAGATTTGTCTTGTCATTGTAGATCCCTTCCACAATTACTAGATGGTGGATGATCACCAGTATTTGACCTGGCCTTGCATTGTGTTCCTGATATGACTTCAGATGTGTCTTGTTGGATGCTAATTGCTGTGGATGCTGATGCCTGTTCTCCTTCCTCAGCTATTGTAGGGTGGGCTCTAGCCTTGTGAGGTATGTTATTGAACCCTTGTCCCTATTTTCTCTAAGGGAAGGGCTTCCTTGAGGAAGAGTTCTTCTGCTGTGACTTTTCATCCTTAGATGATTGCTACTGAAATGAAAGGGGTGTTGCTCAGTTACCTCAGGTTTTGATTTAAATACAATTCTTGCTTTCTAATGCCCCTTGTTACACCAAAAAAAAAAAAAAAAAAAAAAAAACAAAAAAAAAAAAAACAGTTATATGTATAGTCTGAAAGTACTAGCTTTGGGTCTTTTATATCAAATATAACCTTTTTGATCAGAGTCAAAGTCAAAGGTGTCAGATGCATGGGTTTCTAAATGTATTTAGGATCTTTAATCAAAATATTCTCAAAATAGCAGAGGACTTCTTTGAAGAAGGATAAACACTGAGTAATGTGAGAATCCTGCCTTGTCATTGGTATAAAGCTTCTGCAAACTTAAAGCACTGAATTTTATTTTGGGAGAGCTTCATACATTTTTAAACAAACTGGATGTTTCTCAAGCAGGTATAAAACTCAGTTTCAGGGGAAAAACACTTTTTGAAATACCATAGTTATATCAAGATAAAATAAATAATTCCAAAGTTGTCTATTATCTTAAAAGTAGAGGTTTTCACTTGCAAAAGGTCAGGAATTAAGTGTTTCTTCATGCACAAGTGATTTTGTGGGCAGGCTAAGTCAATATCCTTGGGCTTTTAAAATCCTCTGAAGCATCATTGTATATATCATCATTGGAGATAGAGTAGTAATGTGACCTGTGTTCATCTGCTCACCTACTTGCCTTCTATAGCATTGCTTCTCTGCTGGGTGCTGCTGGTCCTGACTTGCATCACTTTTTCCTGAGAAGAGTATTACTAAGAAAATTTAAACATGTGCTTGCTTTGGCTTTAGGGGACTTAACGGTATTGATCCAATGCAATGTCTGGGCTACCACCTGTACCCAGACTAGTGCTTCCAATGGCAAGCACTTTTAAATATTTTATTTTGGCCATGGAGTAGATTAATTTAGATGTCTGAAACTAAATTAAGAAGTGGGTTCAGTTGGAGCTACTTTTAATGTGGGTAAGCAAACTCTAATCATGAGACTTTTCACAGAGATTTAAGAAAAGCATGCAAAGTCTCAGTTCTCCAAATATGCTTGAACATATTTAGTATTAACCTACATAGATAGTTCCTCTAATTTATCCACTGAATGATCACTACCTGAATGTTGTATGCCTGTTTAAAGCTGTGTGGTAAATGAAACTCGGGTAACAGCCCCAGTCGTATAAGGTGTTCTGTGTCCTTCAAAATCATGATGTGTAACAAGAAAACTTGTGCCTTCCAAGTCAAAACACAGCTAAAGCATCTCTAGCTTAACTTCCACTGACAGATAACAATTTGACTTACAGATACTTCTGTATTACAGTAAAAAAAAAAAAGTAAAAAATAATAATAGAACTTGAATTTACCATTGCATGTTGTCAGAAGGTAGTAAGATTGCAAAATGTTCACTTTGATGAAATAATCTGTTGATGATTTAAAGCTGAGCTAATTAAATCTATGCAATAAAGTATTTATTTTATCCAAAAGCAACAACAGAAAACCTGAACATTGACTTTTCCTTTTAAATATGTGTTGCCTTAGTGTTTTCTAATTGTATTTTATGTATCCTGATAATAATTATTTCAGGTGCAATAAAATTGCTGGAGGTACTCACATTTCTCAGTTGTAGCAGAGATGGATATGATCTCATTAAAAATTACTCTACTCCCTAGAGTTAAGCCAGAAATGATTTTTGGCTCATGCAGTAGTCTATTTTAATAATTTTAAGGGTATTATGAAGTGTTTCTCTTTCACAGAAAGAGCTATATCTAGAGTAGGTATTGAATCATGCAATTCAGCTGAACTATCTTTTATCTTCTAGTCTATTAATAAAATATATTGTCTGTATCTAGCCTCTTAGGGTCTGTGATATTTATAGCACTTTCTCTAAGTGGGTAGTATTGATGTAATTTAAAATGGATTGATATACTAATTAAAAGCTCTTGTTTTAGTAAAAATGTATATATGTTTTTCATGTTCTGATACTATTCACTGTTCATATAAGTAGTCATATAATAGAATACAAATGTTACAGAATTATATTGACATCTTTTTTTAGGTGCGTATCCTCAGGAAACATCTCCTGATTCACAGATGTCCTCTGTGGCTATGCAGTTCCTTCAAGCATGGTAAAAATTGCCAGACTTTTTTTTTTTTTTTTTTTTTTTGACAAGACGTCAATAAATAATGCAGTCTCCAAATCTGTTGTGCAAGACCATCTGCAGAAGAACTAATGATTTTGGTACTGCTATCTTCATAATGGGGAAGACTTATTTACTGGTTACTAGAGATGTAAATGAAGTGGAGTTGTGGAACTGTATTTGTGGTTGCTGTCTTGAACATCCCTGCAGCAGGGTACTTCAGCCTGACAAGTGTCTGAATCTTTTAACAAGGGTAATGGCTTCCTCATAGACACATAGCTAAGCGTTTATCTATTGCCACATGCAAAATTTGAGACCTTTACCTGCTTTTCTTATTGGTATCAGCTATTCATGCTACAGTCAGAGCACTTAAACATTCGGCACAGACACAGGCTTACTCCATTTTCAGGCAGATCAGCGTGAGTCTGGAGTCATTCCATGAAATAAATTTAAATTTTGATTCACATCTTAGATAAACAGTTGGGCCAATAAAATACAACCTGTTCTTTCAACCATCTTCCCTGTGTGCAAGTCAAAGCAGAAACTGTTGGCAAATATGGATTCCTGAAGCATCAAGCTTTATCAGTTCTGTGGCCTGTTTTCCCACACAACTGCTGATGGCATAATGCACAATATAGTGCTTATACCTATGTATGATCCATTTATGAAAGTCAAATCTGTCAAAACTAGCTCTTCTTGCTTCAGGTATATCTTTTACCTTTTAATTTTGGGCCATGACACTAACATTTCACAAGTGCAAATGACAGCTACCAAGTCCTTTTTAAAACAAAGTATCACAATGAGGTTCTCTGTCTTGATTTTTAATTCAAGTAAGAAGTGGCAAAAATCATTCCCTATCAGGCATTCCTTTTAATTCACGCTTCAAGTAAATTAGAGCAAGTTCTCAAGCTACAAACTTGTATTTCCACTAAAATAATATTTTTATACTAATAGATAAATATTTGTGTATGTGTACATATACATCTCTATGGCACTGAAATTTGGGAAATTCAACAAAGAAATGTGAAGTACTGCATGTGGGAAGGAATAATATCCTGCAGTGATACAGGTGGGGGAGTGACCTGCTGAGAAAGACCTGGGGTCTTGGCACAGAGCAAGCCGGAGCATGCCAGCAGTGTGCCCGGGCAGTAAAAAAAGCCAGCAGCGTCCCAGGCTCTATCAACAGAAGGGAAGAAATGGTCTCTCTCTACTTAGCACAAATTACACTGCATTTAGATCGTCTGGGTTGGTCTGGGGCTCTCCAGTACCTAAAAGATACAAACTGGAGAGTTTTGTAGGGGGGCACTAGGATGTTTAGAGGCTGGAGCATTTTCTGCGAGGGGAGGTTGAAGAGCGTGGGCTGTTTCAGCTGGTACAAGAGATGTGTTTTCTGTGGGCCTAGATGGAGGCCTCTGTCCTACCAGTACCTACACAGATGTTAGAGAAGATATTATGATCCTGGCAGTGGGGTATGGTGGGGGGATGAGACACCAGGCACAAAATGAAACAGAAGCTTATACTGGGTTAAAGGGAGAAGTGTATTCCCCATGAGGACAGTGAGGTGGTAGGGCAGGCTACCTGAGGAGATTGTGCAGTCTCAGTCTGTAGAGGCTTTTAAGACTGGTTCAAGTCCTCAGCAACCTGGGCTACCTACATGGCTGAGCTTGCTTTGAGCAGGAGGCTGGAGTAGGTACCCCCTGAGGTCTCTTCCCGCCTAATTTTGTTGATTCAGTAAACCTATAATGCAATCATAGCCTTTAAAACTGCAAGGTTACCTATTCAATAGTGTCTAACCCGGTAAGTAGTCTGTGGTCAGACAGTATTCCAGGTTAGCTTTATTGATTACTTTCTGAGCAAGGCCGGCGCGTTCACGCTGTAAGGCCGAACCACTCTGCCCTGCCATATGCTGCCTGCCTACTGTGCCACGAGGATGAGGCTGGGTTCAGGCGCTCTGTCATTCGCCGCAGCTCTCTGCATGGGCAATGGGCTGTCAGATGAACAGCCTTCTTGCTGACAATTTTCCATCCACTTGTTCTCATACCCACTGTGCCCTTGAGGTAGCTCCTTTTGCATTCTGACGTTCGTGCTGCTGATTTATGTATGGAGCAACAGCTTCCTCCTCTAGCCTTTGTTCCAGCGGGCAGAACGAGCCCAGCTCTGTCAAAGGCTTGTGTTGGGTCTCTGGATTATCCTACTGACTGTTCATCTGGCTCCGGTGCTGGCCTGACTGTAGCTGTGTCGGGGACTGCGATGACCCCCAGTACCCGAATTAGACCTCAGAGTGTCTTGTGCAATATCGTTGGGATTTCCACGCTGGGGTGGGATCTATTTAACTTAACACAACCCCGAAAGCGCACATCGCCTCAGCCAATTCGCAGCAACGCGATGGAGCACGGCCAATCCCCTCTGTAAGGAAAAAACACCTTCCCTGGTGGTAAGAAACCCACAGGCACGCCTTGAGAGCAGCCCCCCCCCTCCTCCGGGGCCGGCCGGGGGGAGCGGCCATTTCGTGGCGCCTCCCGCCGCGGGCGTGGCGCTGCGGCCCGGCCCGGCCCGGCCCGGCCCTTTCTCCCCTCCCTTTTTCCCCTCCCTTTCTCCCCTCCTCTCCCCGGGCGCGGCCCCAGGCGTTGTTCGTGTTCCCGCTGCCCGCCCCGCTGCCCACCATGCTCCAGCTCCTGCTCCGGGCGCTGCCCGCCGCCGCCTGCGATGGGGGCCGTGAGGGCGAGTCGCGCTACGCCAGCCTCTTCAAGAAGCTGGACCTCAACGAGGACGGCCGGGTGGACATCGCCGAGCTGCAGACCGGCCTCCGCGCCATGGGCATCCCGCTGGGCAAGGAGGCGGAGGAGGTAGGAGCCGGCGGGGCTCGGCCTGCTGCTGCCGCCGTGTTTGTGCTCCGGCACGGCTCGGGGGGGGCTCACGGCGTCTGGGGTCGCACACGCTGTAGTGTGGCCATCAGCCCCCGCACAGCCCTTGGGCTGTGGGTTCTGGGGGATCCGCCTGGACTGTTACATTTCCTTGTCCACTTTTACCAGTGATGCCTCCTGAGTCACTACAACTTGAGTCACCGGGTGTCCAAGTGCTGGCACAGCAAATCTGGCCCGTACCTGGGGGAGAAACTCGCGTTTCCTAGTTGTTATCGTGGATACCTCAGGAGCAGAACATAAAGTCACTTAATGCGCGGTTCTCCGGCTGTATTTGTGCGATAAGGCACATTGTGCTGAAAAGGCAGCTTTTAGGTTCAGCATTTATCTCTTTAAAAGGTATTGCTTATGGAAGCTGGGGAGGTTGTCTTCAGTGGGCTCCATTAATTCTAGAAGTCGTAACACTCTGTGGGCAGTAAGGTGAGAGCTGGCACACAGAGATGTCAATTTGTTTGCAAAGAAAGTAGGTGGTATCTGCAGCCACATAAGACCTACAGATTGGACTCGTTAACAACATTTGTGCTTAGGCATGTGCTGTTTGCTTTTGTACATCGTTCAGAGGGCATGGGCGTAACGTCCAGGTTTTATGGAGGAATTTGCATTTTGGCTGCGCGTATGAAAATCAGACATAGCTGCAGTTAGACCAAACAGGTACAGCAGAGGTCTGTGCTGGAGCTGTTGCTGTAGCAGTGCTGTTCTTTATTTCAATATGACGACTGATCAGATGGCATTGCACTGCCATGCCTACATTAGGCACTGTGTAGCTTTGTAAAGAGGGTCAGAAAAGTCAGCCTAAATTTTGGCTGCAGTGTTCAGGTGTGGTGGGTAAGCCGTTCAATTTCAGTGACCTGACGCTAATCCTGGGATGAGGCCTCTTCTTTCTTCATTACTTGGTCTCTATTTGACCTCTTTATATTTAACTCAGTCTCATATGCTTAAGGAGAAGTATCCAACAGGTCTCCAAAGTTAGAATCATAGAATCATAGAATATCCTGAGTTGGAAGGGACCCTTAAGGATCATCAAGTCCAACTCTTGACACCGCACAGGTCTACCCAAAAGTTCAGACCATGTGACTAAGTGCACAGTCCAATCTCTTCTTAAATTCAGTCAGGCTCGGTGCAGTGACCACTTCCCTGGGGAGCCTGTTCCAGTGTGCAACCACTCTCTCTGTGAAGAACCCCCTCCTGATGTCAAGCCTAAACTTCCCCTGCCTCAGCTTAACCCCGTTCCCGCGGGTCCTGTCGCTGGTGTTAATGGAGAAAAGGTCTCCTGCCTCTCGACACCCCCTTACGAGGAAGTTGTAGACTGCGATGAGGTCTCCCCTCATCAGTTTCAATAGCAGTTGATGCTATTGAGAGTGTAAATGAGAGTCCTAAGCGTGCATTCACTTCAGTATTGCTTCTGGTCAAAAGCATCTCAGTGAGTGTGTATCTTGCATTCTCAGACTTTGGTCTGTAAAGCAGGGACCGGCTCTGCTTCCCGTGAGAGCTGTCATGTTACTGGTTGTAGGCTTCACTCAGGCATTGCGGATGCATTGTTGGGAACCTGTTGTGCCAGTTTGACTCTAACAGTGCTTTTTTAACCTAGAGTGAACAGAGGAATAGGTGCCCAGTTTTCTGACAACTAATGGGGATGGTCTTCCAACATAATTTACTGAAAGCCCTGAGACATGGTGTATATCTTAACGTTGGAACAACTTGTAATTGAAATCTCAAGTTATTTTCTCTTATATTCAGCATGATATTTTCCATTCAAAGTGCAGATCTAAGTATCCGCCAAAGCCTCGATTGGTGTAGGATAAACTGGAAGTGAAACCATGAAATCAATTGAGATAAGCTACACTCCCGTGGATGTAGCGGGGAGCCAAGCTGGCTGTTTTAGTTGCCTGAGAAACACAGAGTAAACAAAGTAAGCTGTGAGTCACACTACATGTCTGGGATGGGTGGAAGAATTAGTGCCGCTAGCTGCAGCGTTTATATTCACCATTGTAAACTTAACGATGCACATGATTTTCACTTGAAATGACTTGTTAGAATGAGACCCTCAGTAAGACTTGCCTCCAGTTTCTTTCCTGCCTTTAGTAGCTAATCTGCTTCCTGTGCTCTTCCTTGGGGCTTGAAGCTGCCTTCTACAACTTCTTCCACTTCAAGCTCTAAACTGATGTTTAATTCAGTAAAATACCTTTTTACTACTTGATAAAAAGGCATTTTATTAATAAAATTATGCATGCAATTTTACTCCTTGTGTTTGCAGAGGCAGAATTAGTCTTATAATTGCTAACAACTAATGAGTAAGGAAATAAAACCTGTAAATATACAATGTGGCTGCACATTCAGCACTGCTGATTCAGTGGTTTTATGGGTGTGGGCAGACCTTTGGATGTACTGAAGAAGAGTAGACTTCAGTTCCTCGTGGCTGAGTCAGGGTTTCAGGCCTTGCACTCTGCTGTTCCCAGATGCAGGTGGGGGTCAGGTTTCCAGAAATGCTCCTGCGTGTAGTGAGATAGACGAGCTGGGCAGTGTTGGTCACTACTGGTGGGCAGCGCTGCTCACCCTGGTAACTGTCAGTAGGCTACCAGCCAGGTGGGTGTTAGGTGTTTTCACTGCCAAGTCACTTGGGTCATCCTCAGTCATCACCTTCACAGTGTTAAAAATCAGTGTTTGTGCTACTAATACTGCTTTCTTCTCTTCTCTTGAAACAGTATGTAATCCCTTACTGGAAGGAACATGCGTGCGTTTAGAAGTTACCAAGCTGCTATCCATTTGAGTAATAAACACAAGAGTATGCTCTTTTCCTCTGACCTTACATCCATTTTCTTGATGGCTTTATTAATGCTTAATGTGTGATGAGACACTCTTCTAGGCAAGGGAATATTGTAGACATCAAATAGATGTGGTAAGTGTTGGAAGTAGGTCTCATGTTCTTCTTGAGGGAAGAATCGTTCTTTTTCCTCCATAGAAGACTTCATTGCACAAAGTGACACAAGCTTCTGACTCTTCTGCTTCACCTGCCTCCTGTAAGTGTGTGACAGGGAAGAAAGCCACTGAGAAGTCTAAAATGTGTACTTCTTAGGGGCTGCCACGATGACTCCTGTTTTATATTTTAGTATGTTACTTGCTAGGAATGGGTAACTTTGCTGAGCTTTACAAAAGATTCCTGACTTCGTATATTAGCACCTACAAAGAGGGAGTTGATTGCAGTGACAGTACCAAAGGGCTCTTTACAAGCCCTGATAGCAGCTATTGTACAGTCAGTTCTGATTAGCCGAGTTGTCTGGTAGAGATACCAGATAGATGCTGGGATCAGATCTCAAATGATCTCATCCTGTGCCTTCAAAATGCAGTGAGTCTCTTAGATGTGAGTACCATACATGGTGTGAGTGGTTATACTATTTTTATTCCCGCTTTCCTTCTGTTGCAATCAATCCTTACAGTAAACCTGCAGGAGGCAAATTCCGTCTTTCACGCTTCAGTTTGTGGTAGAAACAGCCAAGCGTCCACATTCAGGTACTATTTATACATTGAGTCCCGGAGCTAAGAGCAGCAAGATGTTACTGAAATGAATAACTACATTCTGGAAACAATATGATGTTCTTATTTAGACTGACTGTCAGATTTAGACACAAGTCTTGTCATTCCTGGCTACAGTAAGGCTTTAAATGAAAATAAAACAGTGTGATGAGATAACTCACATGAAGGTACAGCATGATGTAATGGAAACAAGGCCCAAGGAGACTAAATTCTCAGCCATCGGAATACGATCTGCTTGGAGTAGTCAACTGTGTTTATGAGAATTGTAGGCCAGCTATGTTAAAAATACTCAGAACACTTGAAGTGTGTTGCCACGTTTAAAATAAAGGGAACTAAGCATTTTGTCAAGCAGACCAGATTCCTGTGCTGTATCACAGTGTGCGCTGTGGTGTGAGAGAGACCACAGGTGAGAGCAGAACCAGGTGTGAATGCTGAGCTTTCCTCTGGCCTCCTAAACACTTGAGCTTAGTAGTGCTTCAGACCGTGAAACTTACAGCTGTTGTTAGCCCAGCAGCATATCCCTTTACAGATATTTGTTGAGTAACTGAGCTAAACATAGCCATTAATATTTCTCCACTGTTTTATTATGCTATTTGCGCTCTTCTTACTTTTGGTAACTTCCCTTACATGGCAAAATTAGGAGGCTAGTAGAGCAAATTACATGAAGCCTCTTGTTATATTGCACTTTGGTTAGGAATGTATAAAAACAGCACCAGCTGCTTTAGCAGCTTCTACACAATACCTACACTTAGAAATCATTGCCTTACGTGACATTAAGATTCACAGTCTGTAGAAGCAGAAATCTTTTGTACTTCCCTGTCTCTCAGTGCCATTTTTGTGAAATGAAACTTTGTTCTTAATTGTATGCCAAAAACTAATACTGTCGGTTTAGAGTAGGTAGACACCTTCTGCTTTTACAAAAAACAGATGTCATGTGTTCATAGAGAACTGGCATTACTTAGTTACTTTAAACCTTGCTTTTCAGGTCATAATAGGTGTTAGAAATGTCTCATTATAGGGATCTAATAGTGGAATACCACAAACATCTTCAGTAACGTATCTGAGTCTGGTTGTAAGCCAACATTTAAGTTGTTACTTGATTTCAACATGCACAACTTCAGAAGCTTTTAACTGATGCATGCTGTAGTCACTTGCAAGTCTCCATATGAAATAGCAAGATGAATTTAAGTTAATTTTCATAACACTTTAAGCATACAAGGATGGAGGAAGAAATGTTTTTCTAATACTAACTTGATAGTTGTTTGTTTTTGTTTTTTTCCTTCCTGAACAGGGTACAGTGAATGATTCATTCTTGTTGTGCAAGACACAAGAATGCTAGGTACCGAATACGTGAACCCCTCTGCCCACCCTGGCAGATCTCTTAACCACATGTT